ATCAGACAAACCGGAAGAGGTAGGTATAGTTTGAGACAGCGCCATTGGTTTGGGATTACTCACCGCTGACTGGACGAGACATCTGTCAATCAACGTATGCAGGAAGAGCCAGCCGAAGAACAGCAGAGTCGTGGTAGAAAGTTCGGAGATGGTATTAAAGTAGCTCAGTGTAAATGTATTGTATAAATTGCCCTTACTATGGAATTAAAAATAAGGGTTGTATATTTACATTTAGTTAAAAGTGGCTGTAAATCATCAACTCCAGTGGTGCAGATGGATAAGCGTGTGTCGTTGGCTTTTTGACGTTATCGACCCGGGTTCGAGCCCGTCTTTTGCCGAACTTTTTTTTCCTCCCTTTTCAAATGTGCTTTCTGAATTGTTATTTTGTTTTTTAGACTTGCATTTGCGTTTGTAATTTGTTATTTTGTTTTCAGAATTGTGATTTGCTTTGCACTTCTCGGCCACCGTACCTATTTCTGTTAATACCATATAATTTATCATAAAAAAGAATCTTAATCTTTTCTGACTCTAAGAAACTTCAGATTAGCAGTTTTTGAAAGTTTTACTTTCAAAAACATAATTTAAGATAGCCTAATTTCAAGCTCAAGTATTCACATATGTAAAGACAAACACTTCATAAAATCAGCAAAAGAAGATCAAAACTTATTGAGCTTCCTACCCGCTCCGTATGATGCCCCAGAAATGCGAAGTGGGCAGCTCGTTTGAGACACATCCCACCACACTCAATGCCATTCCGTTTGTTTCCGTTCCTCACACCTACCGTTTCCAGATACGGGATTGTCCACTGCCAAATTCACGCTGATTTGGGCATAAAGTCCCACTGAGTGTATAATCCACAGCATCTCTCCAAACGAGCCCATTCCTGCTCTATGCACTCATCAGATCCTGCCGGTAAAGCTCTGTGTTCCGTCACGCTCCGGAGCGCACTAATTGCCCGCGCAGCTGTGGCGGAGGAGCACACGGGGGCGGGGCGCCTGTGATGCGGTCTGCTGAGCGATCAATTAGGCGGAGCGATATACGGTAATTCATGAAACGTTTCTGCTTGTATTATCAGGTATGAGACCGGGACGGTGAAAATCACTTTGTGCGTGTGCAGACTAAACATTTCCACAGTTATTGGCCAGGATTAAGATTTAGATTTCAGATTTAGATTTTAAGACTTCAACAGCTTTCTTCAAGCACTGAGTTTTTGTTTTGGTAGCGTGTCAGTGAGGAAATATGGCGGATGCAGAGTCTGTTTTGACAGTAAATTTTCATTTACAACAAAGCCAAGTTGCATGTACAAAATATGATTGTATTTTACAACAGCACCTTCATAAAATTAATTTAAAAAAGGAAAACATCTAATTTACATACTTTATTCATCAATTTGTACACTCTAAAAAATGCTGGATTAAAAAGGGACAAACCCAGCTATTGGGTTGTTTTGACCGCTGGGTCAAAACAACCCAATAGCTGGGTTTGTCCCTTTTTAACCCAGCGCTGGGTTATATTTAACCCAGCATTTTTTA